GATAATAAATATTTTATTAAGCTTTCAAGCGATTTTATTTATTATGGTTTATTACTTGAGTGTCAGCATGCCACGGCTCAGCACGACCAGCCTTCGCCCTCTCCCCCGTAATGCCTGGAGGGGGTCATCGAAAGGGCCACTCCATGGCGTGGGAGGGGGGTTTGGTGGGGTTGGTGGGTAAAGCAAATTTTAGGGAACAGTCGCACCTACAACGACATACAAAACTTAAACTTAACTTTAAAAATTTACGATTAGTAAGCAAAATTTAAATATTCAACTTATCACCTAAAACCAGAGTTGAAAATGCAACATTGTACGACAGTAGCAAACGATATCACAAGCGCGTGCTTCGTCTGATTTCGTCGTGTAAGATATTTACCGAAAAAGTTGAAAAGGAAATAGATAAGATAATGGAGAGGATTTGAGCGATGAAGCTGATGTTCTTGTAAACATAGGTTGTAGGTAGAATGTCTACTCCTGTGGAATTAGATAAATGTTATCGTCTACTAGTTCCGTAGAGTTTGTCTCCTATTAATCAGTCGTCCGACAAATGTATGTCAAAAAAAAAAAATGACTCGCTATTTAGTTTTATTTTGTGGCTTGAGCAGTCTAGTTCAGTTCAAGAGGAAATTGTTGATAGGCTATTGACTAGGTGAAATAATCATAATGATGGATGGTTGACTAAAGTTTGGGATATTGCGGCAATGAGTAATATTCATGATGACGATAGAGGGAATGTAGAAGTCGAGAAAAAGGATTTATTGATGTATAAAAATTATGAATAGAAATTTTAAGCAGCAATGTATTAGGATTTTGGTTTTTCATTTCCAATTTTCAATAATTTTAGCCGTGACCTCCAGCAGTAGGGTGTTTTGTCTATCATTGTGCCTAGTGTTGCCGCCGGAAAATACTACAACAAATAGAACTTGTACAATAAATAAAATAAATACAACTAATATAGCTAAAACAATAAATGCAACAAATAAACTAATACAACATATACAGCTAATACAACAAATACAAGTAATACCACAAATACAATTAATACAACTAATACAAGAAGTACAAAGAAAGACACATGAGGCAGGGCGCCTGCGCGCGTGTACGTCAGAGCGCATAATGGCCCCAGGCTTGCGTAAGAAAAAGCGAACACCGCAGCCAACTTCACGTCAAGCGCATGATTAGTGACCGCACGCATATGGTCAATGGTGCTCTTTATTCTCTGATGGTCTAATGGTGCTCTTTATTCTTTGATGGTCTATTGGTGCTCTTTATTCTTTGATGGTCTAATGGTGCTCTTTATTCTCTGATGGTCTAATGGTGCTCTTTATTCTTTGATGGTCTATTGGTGCTTTTTTTCCTCTGGTGGTCCAATGGTGCTCTTTCATTATTTTCGGATGGTCTAATGGTGCTCTTTATTCTCTGGTGGTCCATTTGTGCTCTTTATTTTCTGATGGTCTACGGGTGCTCTTTATTCACTGGTGGTTTACTGGTGCTCTTTATTTTCTGACTGTTGAATGGTGCTCTTTAATTATTTTCTGATGGTATTAGGCAAATTAGAGCCGAGTTAAGATCGGCCAACCGCTAGCCAGAGAAATACCACTTGTGACATTCAGGCGGTATATTCAATATTCAATAGGAAGTTTGTGCTTCATTAAAGGAAACATTCAGAGTATCTGGGTATTTTATCCGAAGCCAAAGAATACCAGGCATTAGATGTTTTGAAACGCTTAATCTCCCACAAGAATTCTATAAGCAATAAGATATACTGGTATATACCCTAAACAAATTTCCAAGTATATGATAATGTATTTAATTTATGACCCGTCAGGCTTCTGATGATTCATAAAAAATATGATAAGAAAATAAGTTTTCTGAATTTTTCCAACAAAACTTCAAGAACATTTGTATGCCTGCTACTCCAATGGACAGACAACGATACGATGCAGCAACATTTACGAACAATAATCGAGTACTTGCATACGAAGCTTTACGAGCACACATTGAAGAAAATTATAGACGTTGTAAAGCCGTTGGGCATCGAAAAACGCACTTTTGAATTTGATGCAATGCGCGGAGCTGCAGTGGCCTTTTATTTTTAAAGAATGACTATCAGTTCTGCTTCTTAACTTGCCAGTTAATTTATGTGCAGTCGGATCATTTTTCAATCATTATCATTGGACAGCTAACCATCCTCACCGTACGACCAACCATCCACACCTTACGACCAACCATCCTCACCGTACGACCAACCATCCTCTCCGTACGACCAACCATCCACACCGTACGACCAACCATCCTCACCGTACGACCAACCATCCTCTCCGTACGACCAACCATCCTCACCGTACGACCAACCATCCTCACCGTACGACCAACCATCCTCACCGTACGACCAACCATCC